GAAGCTCAACTTGCCTCACTGTAAATACTTAAAACACAATTACTTTAAGTTAGCAGCCACCAACAAACTATAGCTTTGTGGTTAAGCTGTGTGTGAACTCTGAATGAAATACATCAGGGTACAATTTTAGTTTTTCCATTTATTGACTACATGATCTTATTGACTACTAGTAACTTAGGAAATTACTTAATCTCTTTATGCCTTAGTTATCTGTAAAATGGTGCTCATAATATGACAGGTTCACAGATACTGTGGTGATGAAATCAGACTAAATGCTTATATGTAAAAAGCTTAAGCTTGCCTAGAATATTTTGCCAGTATTATTATTTTCCTTGAAATAAATACAAAGTGCATACATATATTGCTGTGAAGAAGACCATGATTGCAGCAGCATGTGCTGCAATCCATGTTATCCTCTGATCCAGTTGCATGTGTTTTTGATATCAATCTGCTGTCATATTTTTGGTAATAGCTGCAAATTAACCAGACTGAGCTAGTGGGCCATGAACATACTTTCTAATCAGGATTCACTGGAAATGTCTATAATAACATTAGAAATTTGGTTAATTTTTTAAGAGCATAAGAGACATGAATATATTTCATCTGCTAAACTATTTCCCACTGTGAGAGTCTTGCTGAGGTTCTGTAGGCCCAAATCTCAACATCAGTTAAATATGTGACTGCACTTTCTCCTACTTAGTATTATGGAATGGAATCTTATGTATGAAAGATGTCTTGTATAGTATGTCAAAATGTTGAGCAATATCATTTCAATCTAAACACAGAAATGAAAAAAGAGCAGATGATTTCCCTTTTGCTATAATTCACTTTGGGATGCATGTCATGAAGAGCACTATACAAAAGCAATTTTCATTGATTGACTGAGGAATAGGGTGACTGTTCTCTCCAGCTTACATCCCTACTGAAGTATCTGAAGTATGATTCTTATAACTCCTGACAGCTCTTCACGAGTTGTAGTTAAATGCTAAGTTAGCACAAAGGGGGAAGGAGGGTGAGAGAGAAAGGATGATAATTAGAACTTTTTCTGGTTTTTAGTGCAGCTCACTTGAGTCGATAGCTAAACAAAAGGGGTTAAGATAAGTTCAAACCTAAATGTTCTAATTACTCCATTCAGCATATTTAAATTTTAGAGAACATAATTGCTAAAAATACACTGCTAATAAGTTAATGGTATAATCAAATCAGTAATACTGACCACTGTATAATTCTTGTTCTATTTCTATGTAAGTTGCTAATCTTTCTAGAATATTTAGTTTTAACAGAAGTTCTCATTTAGAGAACCATTCAACATCAGTGTCCTATTCTTATAATCTGAAAGAGAATGAGTCACATCTTTGAAATGCCTCTCTAATTTGTATAAAACATGCTCTTTCATTTACCTAATTTGGATAGATCTTTCACTTTGTGATATAACTAAATGAACGCTGATCTATGAGTTATATATGCAAATACTTAACATGACCAGGGATAAAACTGAAAACACTTCACACAAAAATCTTATGTTCCAAATTATTGTAACAGATCCATGTGTAATCTCCGTTACTACTGGCCTGTTCTTAAAATTTTAGTTTATCTTTCTAATGACATAAAAGCATGGGGAGCTTTTTTTGCTAATATACCTAAACTAGGTTTTTCTCAGTGGTTAAGTTAAAGCAATGCTGGTTACACAATAATTCTTACTTGAAATAGATTCACTTAATTATAATAGATCTTTATTCTAATAATGGACTAAATTTAATGCTTGAAAATTTAGATTTGTTTGCAAAATATGGAAGACGGCTTATTTGGAGAATGTTTTTTAAAAACCCTGAAGAGCTAAAGCCATGTAGCAGGTCATAACAAACACATTTTCAGGGGAGAGGCACTTGCAATGCCTTTCCCCAGCAGCTGCACACAAACGGCAAGGCCTATAAGTGTCAGAAAGTCTTTTAGGTAGGTTCATGCTTCACTTGCTGTGGAAGCTTGAGGAGATAACTTCTGCAATTTAGAACTGACACTCTTCATGTAATTATGCTTCCAGCAATATAGGTCCAGGTTGCGGGGGAGGGGAAACAGTTCAAACTAGTAAATAATTGCAGTATCATTGCATCAGTTTAGTTTAAAGAGCTGACAAACCCTCTCTAAACTCTAAGCACAATTAGTCATTAGGGTCTAGTTTTTCAGCACTGTTAAGCAATTTGTAACCCATTCCTTTTAATAGGGTTAGGCTTTACTTAACCGACACAGATGCCTTGAAAACTGAAACCCTGAGTTATGAAGCAGCAACCTTGTTCATTACCTTCTCTGATAGGCAAATCATCTATAAAAACAGCATTTAATGGGCAGCCAATGAATAATCAATGGCTCACTTTTCATCTGAGTGTGAAAATGAGAATAATCTAATATAAATTCCCTCTGGTAAGAGGCTGAATCTTGGATTCTGCTGCTCTTCAGGGTTGATTTATAAGGTCTTGGAAAGCTGATGTAAACAGATGATCAATGGGACCCATCCTTGCTCATAATAACCCCCAACTGGCCCACTCCCTCTTTTCCAAGTCTATCCCTTCAGGCTATTAGCTCTGTCCAGCTAATTCTTCCCACTACTTCTGCCTGCTGCTCTTACTCTGGCCATCCGTTCAGTCCAGCCGACTCAGAAGTAATTTTATACGCAGCAGAGAGCGGGTGGAATTGATTTTTCACTCAGTGCTCAGTTCCCATCTGAATAATTATCAATTTTACTGCCTCATAAAGGGAAGAGTCAAAATTTCAAATCAATTCAAAAGAGCTTTTGAGACGACAGAAACTGTGCATAAGAATAGAGGTCAAAGTTGTCAGTGACCTAAGGAGATGATGTCAGATACTACTATACCCAACAGTTGACATCAGAGGCACTCAAGATGATATAACCTAGTGCTAATGCAAATCATATTTATGCTGACTACCAGAAACCAGTCATTAATATTTAAAATGCTATCTGAGAGCCTACATTCCAAATAAATAGAATGCATTCCACTGTTAATAAAGATATATCACTACTTAGTCAAATGCTATAAAGTAAAGGATTACCAAGTATTATTAACACATAGAAATTACTTAAACCAACAAACACATGATAATTCTGAGTAAAGACAAACATGATTGTCCTTTGCAAAACAACATTACTTGTTCTGCACAGTCTGATGGCATTTGTCCAGGACCATGGCCTATTGATTTTTGCTAAAATTTTCTACCCACTTAAAAGTTCCTGCCAAAGTTTATGGGACAACATGACGATCACGGTGAATACTGGCAGGTGGAGGACTTGTCGCCTGCCAGGGTGAGGTTGGGGGTGGTCTTGACTCCTGGCCAGTCCATGGGTATTTATTTTCTCCACTGGCTGGCTACATGCTTTAATTCTGTGGTTCTCGGCCTTCTCATGAAACACCTGAGTGCTGCGACACACTCCCAGCAGAACCAGTGGCTACTGCAGATGGGTGAAGAAGGAGAGGTGTATCCAAATCCTGACAGAATGTGTATTCTGAAGAGGCACTCTGGCTGAACCTGAGACCTTGTCCCTACTGACTAGTCCCCTGAGAATAAATGGTGTAAGTAAGTTGTAAGGACTTCGGTTTTTGAGCCAAAAAGACCTTGGTTCACATTCCACTTTCCAGTTGATCTCTCTGTGGTTCAATTTATTCAACGGTAAAATGAGGATGACAATACACCCACATTTCATGGTTGTTGTGGGGTCTAAATGAGGAGACGTCCCTGAGAGTCCTCTCCTACTGCCATCACTACACTAATCAGTTAGCATACAGTTAGGGACTGGTCTCTCCTTCCCACCTGGCAGGAAAAACTTACAAAGAGAAATTATGTCTTTTGGATCTTAACAGCTCTTGCACCTTGTACATAGAAGGTCCTCAGTAAATGAGTTATCTTCCTCCTGTTTAATCACCAACATGTTTTGTAACAATTTCAGGATCATACCAAATAGTTGCAGCCCTTTGCTTATTTACACAAAATCTTCATCCACACCTTCTTGCAGGAAATTAACTGGTTAACTGAAACATCACCAGAAATAAAGTTTACATAATTTCATTTAAGTATTAGCAAAAAATGACAGCTAGGAAGAAAACCTCTTCCTTGGCTTTCTTATTCATTTTCATCATTTATTTACTCAGACTGACATTTTCTGCTGATGGCAGGTGACTTATTTGCTGGCTAACAACCATGTTCAAGTGTTTACATTTGCAAACCACAGACTATTATGGAGATAGTTTGGCAAAATAACACAACTGGAAGCAGTATAAAGATATCATTTCCCAAATTTAGTAGAATGGGAATATATCATAGTGATGCTATCTCCATAGCAAAATGGTATTACTCTCTTTGAAATGTTTCTGGCATATATATTATGTTTATCTTTATGCATGATGTTACTGTGATTTGTAGAAGTGAGTTTTTACAAAGAACATTAAACTTAGACCTAATTCATATTAGCTAGTCAGAAAACATTTGAAAATTAACAAACCTGGCTTTATCACTTATTATTTAAATGTTTTTGGGAATATGACCCATCTGAATCTTGATTTCTCATCTAAAAATGGGGAAAATGCCCCCGCAGGTCAGCTGGCACAGACGAGGAGCCCAGCAAATGGCAGTTTCTCACCACACCAGAGTATGCACAAGGCAAGCCTAAGAGGACGCTATTAGAGGTTCCAGGAGACAAATCAGAGGTTGACAGTTGCTAGTTCCAGCTCTGACTTTTACTCAGTATTTCTCTCGTCTCTGAAAGTGCTATCCTCTTTCTGAATACTAGCTTCACTGTGTGAGATGCATGAATTAGAGATTTGCTGAGGGCAGGTAATCCTGAGGCCAACTATCCTACTTACAGGGAAAATACTCCTAGAGGAGAACCAGGAAAGGGTCTTGGCAAGACCAGTTGCTCTAAGGTATTCAGAGACCAGATTGGCTTCAGGGAAACTCTTATCTCTTAAGCTAGGTGAACAACCACTATTTACCTGCTGCAGGACCTCTGGATTTTGCTGCATAAAATGTAATAGTCTCTGACCAGCCTGGGTAGCCTCTCGGCATCGAAGTGATTTCTTGCCCTCTTTTGCTATGTGCTTGAAGAGGTAGGTGACGATGTAGTCTAAACTGGTACAGCAGCTGGAGGAGACGACTGTATCTGTGTGAACAACAAATGAGAATTCACTTGCATGACTAAAATGTTTATGTCATCTCACTCTAATGCCTAAATTAAAAAACAATTTCTGGTTTCAAAGCACTTTTATCAAACTGTAAACTCTTTGAGGATTTTTGCTTTGCTTATCTCTTTAAACCCAACGTCAACTACAGGACTTCACATAGAGCTACATGAGTAAGTAAATGATTCCTCGATTGCACTGGACAGAATTTTACATATGTGACCTTAATGACCTTCTGTTCAATTTAAGTGTCTTTATTAAATATCTACATGGTGCAAAGTGCTCTGCTTCAGGGGAAACTGGGTGTAAACTTGGCACAAAGTACTTTGCTTCAGGGAAACCCTCGCCCTTGTGTCAAGGAAACCATGATTTAGACATAAGCTGCTGGAGAACAGTGCTGTGTAGAAATGAGCATCACACTGCTGTGAAAATTTTGAGAGAGATACTGCATTTGGATGAGGATCAAGGAGGGTTTGGTGAAGGAGGTAGCACCTGAGATGGGCTGGGAAAAGTTATTTCAGTTAAACATAAGAAGGACATTTTTCAAACGGAGAGATTAGCACAGTATACATAATATGGTGAGAAGGTATGGATTTTGAAGCCAGAATTTCAATCTAGTTTCAAATTCCACCTTTTTCAGCTACTTGCTGTGTGTTATTGTGAAGGAGCCATTAAGCTTTCTCATCATTTGTAAAATATGTTGCAGAGCTGAATGAGGAGAAAAATAACTAGAAATTCTCACAGTAAAAATAACTGATATTTATTGAGAGCTTACTATGTTTAATTAACAACACGAGTACCTAGAGGGTATTATGCTAAGTGAAATAAGTCAGACAGAGAAAGCTAAATACCATATGAGTTCACTTATATGTGAAACCTAAAGGAAAAAAGAACAAATGAACAAAGATGACGAAAGAGAAACAGTCACAGACGCAGAGAGCCGACAGGCGGTTGCCAGAGGAGAGGGGTGTGGGAGGAATGAGAGAAATAGGTGACGGAGACAAGAGGTCCAACTTTCAGTAACACAATGAGTCCCGGGCACAAACTGCACAGTGTGGAGAATATAGCCAATAACATCTTAGTACATTGACAGATGGTAACTAGACTCCATAGTGTTTTACCACCATGTAATGTTTAGAAATACTGAATGACTATGTTGGGCACCAGACACTAACATAGCGCTGTAGGGCAATTATACTTTAAAAACAAACAAACTCACAGAAGAAGAAATCATATCTGTGGTTATCAGAGGTAGCTGGTTAGCAGGAGGGGAAACTGGATGAAGGTGGTCAAGTGGTATAAATAACACTGCTGTGTATGAAAGTTAGAGTATATCCTATGAATACCCATCACAAGGATGAGTATTATATTTTAACTATATGGGATGATAAATACCAAACTTATTGTGGTAATCATTTTGGGATGTATATAAGTCAAATCATTATGTTATACCCCTTAAATTTGTACAGTATCAATTATATCTCAAAAAAACTGGAAGGAGAAAAATATGGTAGTTATTACTAATTTCCCTTATGGTATATTTAGGGGGTAGGACTTATGGTTTGAGTAAAAGAATGTGTAGAAGAATCTTAAGAGAGTAGGCTGACAGACAAGTTTGGGATCTTCCTTGAGGGCATCCAGTAGTGGCTTGCACATGTACATATAATCTGAAAGGCAACAGAGGTGTTAGTGAAAGGTTATTTTTTTTTTTGGCAAGTAAGTGTCACTAAATAACACTGAATAACATGTACACTAAATAACATTTCATATACCTCTAACAACCACTTCTGTATATAGTAGATACTGTTATTTGTACTTTTCTAATGAGAAAAATGAAGCTCAGAGATAGCTTATCCAAAGGTCATAGTTTTGATTTAGAGCAACACACTGCCCAGATTTTTTTTTTGGCTAATAGTAATGTATGGACACAATTCTGGGGAATTTATGATTAGTAACAGAAACAGCAAAACAAACAATTAAAAACATGATGGGCCTCAAAAAAATGGTAAATATAGTAGATTCAGAATAGACTGGGAGAGTAGGGCTGGAAGTAGCAGATTATAAACTTCTAAGGCATTACTTTCCTATTCATTTTACTCATCTCTAAAATGCTGAGACATGTGTGCTTGTCACAGATGGGAAGGGAAACATCAGTTGACTTAACTAAAGAATGGGCGCCAGCAGTGCTCAGTCGTGTCCGACCTTTTGCAGCTCCTCGGACTGGCCCAGCAGGCTCCTCTGTCCGTGGGATTCTCCAGGCAAGAGTACTGCAGTGGGTTGCCATGCCCTTCTCCAAAGAATGGGTAGACAAAGCTGCTCTGAGAAAGTTTTTTTTTTTCCAGGTCTTGAGTTCTGTCTAGTAATAATACTAGAATCAATGTAACACTACAGTGTAAAAATTCTCTCACACACATTGTTTTAAGTGAAATGACATAGTAAATAGAGGTAGGTTTGGGGGCAAGTTCTGAAATATAGACAGAAATACATGTTTCAAATAGAGGACAATGGTAGCTGATACAGAACCATGAGGGGTTGAATGAATGTCTAAAAGATGGGCAGGGACTATAGTTTTGGGAAGCTGTGGAGCTATAGGCTTTTAAGAAAGGAGCTTTTATTTCCTTCTATAGTGATGGCATTTGACTGATTATTTTTCTCTCCCCGCTAACTGGGTTACTTTGCAGAAAAGGAAGTTTGGTTTTATTAATATAACCCTGGAAAGTAGTATATAATGTAGTAGAAAATTTTTAGGCCTAAAAGTCAGGCACAGATTTGTTGAACCTGTTTGCTTTTCTCTTTTCCTTCATATTTCTGCCTTTGAAGTCCCAACTGTGAAAGTAAATGGATTAAGTAACTTAACATCTACAAAAGGAAGCAAGCAGGAAATAGATATGCTTCCCCTCACTAGTGAAAAGTGATATGCTATCAATCATACAAAAATTATCAAGACTTCACATAGATTTGGTGACCACATTCCATGCAGGTTGCATTAAAAGGTTCCAATCTACTGAGTCAGCTATGAAAAAGCCAGGTAAACACTTTAGACATGAAGGTTGGAGCATATAACCATGCACTAAAAGCAAGAAGAAGAGCTTCCATTATGGCTGATTTATTGTTGGGGGCTTTGAAAAGGATAGATGATATTTCAGGGTAGATTGAAAAGTGTGGAATCATAAGGATCATGGACCATTTTATCAAAGAAAGTATGAATAGTGCTGAGGATTATGTATTATTATTGGTCGTCTTTATTTGCAGCTGGAGCTATTGCATGATATTCAAATAATGAAACTCTCCTGAAATAAAAGAATGGGCAGAAGTCATGAATTTTCGTATTTCCTCCTAGCTCTTGGTGTTGACAGTCCATGTTTTGGCAATTGTGGACAGAGTGTTTTCACCCGACAGGCACTGTGTCCTCTCCAGCAACTTGCTATCTAGCACTGAAACTACCACAGGCCCCTTCTCTTCTGCAACTGGCCTCCCCAGGGAGCACAAGCATCCTCAGCGGCCCACGTGTTCACCAAGACTACCGCAGATAGCCGCTCGGAAATGTTAACTCACTTTGTAGGAAAGAGCTGCTTAACTGAGACTCAGAAGAATGACAATGGGTTGAACTGAAATTTGGCTTTGACTCAAAATTTCTCATCATAGCAGAGGGGGGTGTGAAGTGAAGTCGCTCAGTTGTGTCCGACTCTTCGCGACCCTGTGGACTGTAGCCCACTAGGCTCCTCCATCCATGGGATTTTCCAGGCAAGATTACTGGAGTGGGTTGCCATTTCCTTCTCCAGGAGATCTTCCCGACCCAGGGATTGAATCCGGGTCTCCCGCATTGTAGGCAGACGCTTTACCGTCTGCACCACCAGGGAAAATATGGTGTGAGAGGCAAATTCGGAAACAAAGGTCTATTTGGGTGATGCAGCAGTTTAGAGTTTAATCTGTCTTCTAGATTGACTACTGAAGATTCAATTTGACTATATGAAGATTCAATTTCACCTCTGTAAAATGTGCTTACTACCACCTGCTTTGTTTTGAGAAATTAAAGATTAGAGAGAGAAACTGTGTAAAGTTTGTAACATAGTGCCCAACTCTAGTAGATTTCTCCCTTTTCACTCCCCATTTATTTTCCTGGCTATTTCAATTCCTGAAACACCAAGCCTGTCATTCAATTTAGCTAATCTGTACCTTTCTTCTCTTTTTAGCATGTTTTTGGTGGGAGAAACTAAAGAAGAAGGCCTCAAAGTTTCTAAACATTCCTGGAATGTTTTACTTCTTTATTACATTTATAACATTAACTCCAATTCAAGAACATGCTCATAACAACACATATTCTTTATTAATAATGAAAAATTTAATAATAATGAACTTGATTAGGGTAATTTCTGATGGTTTCTAGTGGGTTTTCGCTTGCCCCCATCTTTTCCTGTTTTGCCTTCTGTGCCATCCTTTGCTTTCTTGGAATGCAACCCCATCCCTGTCACAGCTCATCTTCACAGGCTTTCCCTGATCACTTCTAAAAAAGCCATAGAACCATTCCCTATTCATTATTTTAAGTCTTGTTTAGCACTTATGATGATTTGCTATTTTCTTATGTGTGTTTACTGTTATCTCTCATCCCTAGAATACAAACTTCACATTAGCAGAGACCTTACCTGTCTTATTCTCTTCAGTACTATCAAGATCTAGAATGGAACCTGGTACATAGCATGTGCACCGCTGATATTTATTAAATGAATGAGTTGAGAACCATTATTAAGAGCAGATTTTTGTAAGCCCTGTGCTGGCTTCTACAAGAGTATGGGGGTAGGTAATAGTGGTGGTTTCCCCCTCAGTCAGTCTCTCCCATCAGGAAGCTTCCATAAGCTTCCTATCCTTATCCATCAGAGGGCAGACAGAATGAAAACCACAATCACAGGAAACTAACCAAACTGATCACATGGGCCACATCCTTGTCTAACTCAATGAAACTATGAGCCATGCCGTGTAGGGC